ATGGTTCTAGGGTCATAGGCACTAATTAGCAGCCTCTAAAGCCATTGTGCAAAGGGCTGAAGAGAAATTTTGCAGATGACGGACCAAGCTGGCAACTTCTGACCTGCTGGTTATCCAGAAACAGAGTGGGAGCTGGCACCCGTGTGTCCATAAACCAGTGTCACAGGAGGTCTGCAGCGCCACCTGAAGACTTTGTCATAAAGTAATCTGGAAATAATTTTGACTCTCATCAAGCTTCTGGGACTAAAGTGACAATTCTGCGAACAACCAGGTGGTCAGTTATGTCCTTTGAGACAGGAGCAAAGACATCCAGGTAGAGATGCTCGGAAGGCAGAAGTGAAGGTCTTGGGGGTAGGTGGGCTGCAGCCAAGATCATTCGTCCACTGTTGGTGTTGCAGAACCCTGACCTTCCAGGATGCACAGAGCAAGGGAGTGCGGCCAGAGGAAAGACCTCAGACACTCTCCAGGAGATAGCCAGTCTCCAGAAGCTGTAGATCTCTTCCTCCTACCCTGGGTGAGAAGGCAGCATCCCGAAGCTTCTGTAACTAAAGTCAGCCTGTCTTAGCACAGGAACGAAGGATGCCCATACCCTAGCATATCCATCTTTTTTGAAAAATGCTAAAGGCTTCACTTCCTTGGATTTCATCTCTGCCAGGGTCAGACAGGCCTTCACAGGGTCGCTCCCTTTGGGATATTATGAATGCGTCCGAAGGGTTTTAAATCAACCTTTCCCACAGCTCTCCTCCATAGAATGTCTTTTGCAACTCAACTCTCTTGTTTTGTTTGCTTTTGTCTAGAGCTCAAAATTGGGTCTACACTAGAAAGAATGGATTTAAGTCGTGGACTGCTATGTAAAAAATTAAATGGGAAAGCACCCCAGGCTAAATGGTCCTCAGAGAGAAGCAGTGCCTCTGACCATATGTGAGTCCACACTCAAAGGAAACCAGCCTGTTTAAACAGCTTGTTGAGCCTAGCATCCTCAAAGGCATTTAACCTTGGAAGTGTCTCTCCAGAGCGCGCACACATGACAGCCCGGTAGATTCCAAAGAACTAGAATTTTACAGCGCATCCTTGATAAGCAACGGCTTAGTCATTTCCCAAGAAGAAATAAGTCCATGGGTCCTCCAATTTGCATCAATCCTGTGTGTTTCATACAAAAATTATGTCAGCTGGGTTACAGGAATTTTTCACCTCATTAAAGTAGCTTCAGTACTAAATGTCTGTTCCAAAACCCCTGGTGATGCTGAGCAACTCCCAGGAAAACTGGAACTTTAAACAAATCTGAAGAAGGAACCCAGCAGTCTCCAGAGGAATGTGTCTTTATAGTTGAAAGGTGTCTGGCCCACTGGGCACCTGATAAGTGTTACATGGTTATTTGTGCCCTAGGGAAAACAATGACATATTTCATGTAGCTCATCAAAAAGGACTCTGGTCCCTGCAAGTCCCAGGTGAAGAATCCCTGCTCTCTAATGCACTGAAAACAACTTAATCCTAGTCAAGGGTGGCCAGTGTAGCAACACTCTTGCAATCCAGAGGTGCCTTGTACACAGAGTATGCATGACGACCACACTCAGGGTGATGACCGGAGCCAATTCCCAGTGCCAGCTGCATCCCAGGTTTTGCACTGGCTGTGGCTTCCCAACCAAGTTCGATTTGTCATGCGGTGTGAGGTTGCTCTTCAGTAAACCCTAGATTTTCTTCTGAAACCGATGCTTTTGGTGATCTTACTTGAATCCCTGTCAAAGGAGCTTGGCCAATAGTGAGGGATTCTAGAGAGACTTTGTTTAGGGAAGAGAGAACATACTCTGAAGTATTGATCAGGAGTCCCCCGCCCATTCCCCCCCAATCTACATTTCACAAGCTAAGAACTAAGACAAGTCCCATGGTCACTAACCAGCTGTGTAATGTCAGAAAAGTCACTCCACACCTTCAAATTAAGTACCATGAAATAGTACAGTTGTTCTGCCTGTGCTGTCTCCCAGTGCTGTTTGGTGGGCCAGTGTGATAACATACAAGAAAGCACTTTGGAAACTGCAAGGCTACCCATGAACATGGGGGAGGGTGGTGGTGATGGCCCACACCCACGGCTGTTACAAATAAGAAGGGTTAACTAAAACAACTAAGACTGAAGGGAGGCGCCTCAAGGCATTGGTCTGGTTCTCCTGCACATCACCAGTGCCAGCTGAGCTGTAGCTGAAGGCAGTGAGTCGGGTTTCCTACGGGAAGTCAGAAGTCTGGGGTTCTCAGCCTTCACATGGGGACAAGTTTCAGCTTTTCTTTTACAGGGTTGCTGCCAGGTTGGTGCAGTTTCCTGGGTTTTGTTTTGTTGGTTTTTGTTTTTGTTTGTTTGTTTGTTTTCCGAGACACGGTTTCTCTGTATATCTTTGGCTGTCCTGGAAGTCTATGTAGACCAGTGACTTGAACTCACAGAGATCTACCTGCCTCTGCCGCCTGAGTGCTGGGATTGAAGGTGTGCGTCACCACCTCCGAGCCTAACAGCAGCTTTTTAGCTCAGTTTTAAAGCCAAACAAATAAAAGATTCTCACTAGTAGTTTTGTGTGTGTGTAATGAATAGCAAGCCCATGCCACCTGTTCACCTCTGCAGGTCCCTTTAGGAGCCACGCCCAAACAGGAAGACATCCACGTACCATGTGCAATACAGGCCTATAGTCACTAACCCTTCAGCACTATTGACCTCCAACAGGAAGGCTGCAGTGCGCCTGCCGTGCAGGGTCTCCGAAGGCTATTTGGGAATAAAACTACCTGTACTTGTAAACTTCCCTAAAATACTTACATAGGGATGAAAGTGGAAGAGGGACTATGCTGGAAGCATGGGAGTAGCAGGGATCAGGGAGGGCGCACTAGAGAGGGCAAAGGAGGTGAGTATGATCAAAGTTCCTGCTTGAAGATGCCTTAATTTGTGCTCATAAATATAAGAAACAAAACTTTTAACTTGCGTGGGAGATGCCATCTTTTGTGTGGCAGATTTCACACTGAGTGCTGTGAAATAATCCTTCGGTGCACTGTGTGAACATATGTCACCATGTCTGGTTTAATAAAGAAGTAGGCTGGCCAATACCTGAATGGAATAAAGTTAGGCAGGAGAGCCAAACTGAGATTGATGGGATGAGGAAGGGCGGAGTCAGAGGAGTCGCCAGCCAGAGAACAAGTAGGACATGCAAACAGAGGTAAAAGCCATAAGCTTCCGGGTATCACACAGATGAATAGAAATGGGTTAGGTGGTAAGAGCTAGTTAGTAATGAGCCTGAGCTATTAGCTGAGCATGTATGATCAGTATAAGCCTCAGTGTGCCTATTTGAGAGCAGTTGCAGGACAGGAAAATTTTGCCTACAACTGAATTGTCCAATAATTACTAACACACACACACACACACACACACACACACACACACACACAACAAACACACACACTTTGAAAAACAAAACCCCAGCAATTAGATGTTAAAATGTCCAAGTAGAGACTACACTTAGAAGCTGAAATTTGAGACTGTGACCTCATTTGTTCAATTGTTCATTCATCTGGCTTCGTTATTTAAAATTTGTTACCATCCATTGCATTTACAGTGATCAAAAATACACAGCAATGAGACAGATAGGATTTGGCCAAAAGTACCTGCACATCACACAGAAACAAGGGAGAAAGAACGTGAGAAAGAAAGCAAGCTAATGCATAATTACACCTTATAATAAGTTCAATGAAAGGGAAAATGTCAGAAACACACTCATGCTCAGAGCAGGACCAGCTGAGCTAAACCTAAAGATCTGCGCACCCACCCCTATCCGAGAACCTGAAGGAAGGCTTTCCTGAGCCCTCACGTAGGCCAAGGACACTAAAGCAAGTGGGTTAAATACAGCAGGGCCGGGTGCAAGATGAGTTTCAACCCAAATTCCAAGGAGGGGAGAGAGTGGATCAGATTTGCTCTTTAAAGGCATGAAGAGGGAGGCATATCAGTAGTGACCGACCGCTGTGGGGCCAGGCAGGACAGACTAGCTGTTGATGAGTGTGGGGCCGTGGAAAGAGGTCTACGCACTTAAGCTATACATAGGAGGAGGAATGGAAGGAATTTGGTGGGAGAAACCGAGACCGCCAGACTACCACAAGCCCTCCCCCACCCCAAATATTAAGACAGTTGGACTAGGGCATTGAGCCTCTGCAGGTCCAGGCAAGCCCGCCCCCTTTGTCTAATGCTCACAAAGGTGTCCTACCAGGAGAGGGGGAGAGCGAGGATAAAATCACCGAAGTCAGCTCACCCTCCTTGCCTGGAGACAATCCCAGAGAGCTGGATACTAACAGCTCCAACCAGCCTCCATCTGCCATTGAGTTTCTACCCCCAGAGTTTTTTGCTTGTTTTTCTGTAAAGTCACTTCTCTATAAATTTACTGTTCTTTCTTGAAGATGTCCTGTGAGAGGCCATGTGCTCAGATAGGCCTTTTTTGTTTTCGTTTTTGTTTTTGATCAGCCAATCAAATAGCACACTGACATCCCCGCTTTCCTTTCAGAGCATCCTTCATTGAGCTCATCACAAGGTGTAATTATGTACCGACTTGCTTTCCTCTTTCTTCTCCCCTCTGTTAGTAAGCAGCATGCAAGCACTTCAAGTCAGATCACTTTATTTTGTTTTATTGTTCAGGCTTTTAACTACCACGTATTCAATGGTTATTCACAAATAAGTAAATATTAAGCAGTAAATGTTAGCCAAGTAAATGAACAATCGACTAACCTGTCCTAGTCACATCCCATGTTTAATTTCTTTAGGGACCCTGTCTGTCTCCTTCATAGATACGAAAAGAAATGCTGATAGTGTCTATATTTTCCTCGTTTTAATCTGCCTTTTGTTTCAAGACTGTGTTTTAACTGAGAACTGATGAGGGCTGGGTAAAACTTTATCCCCCTACACCATAACCCCTAATAGTCTAGTGTGAGCCAGTAGACAGGGAGTGAATATGTGCCAGGTTCTTCTGAGGAAATCAACGACTCACCAGAGCCCCGAGCACTGTCCTTTGTCCCAGGCTGTACAAGTGGGTGGAAGGCTTTCAGTTCTCCGGGTGGCATGGAGGACGGATTGAGGCTAATTCTAACCATGTCCTTCCCAGTGTGTTTGTTAGCTATCCAAATCGCCTTCTTTTTCAATGTTGAATAGAAGATACGGTCACCAAAAAGGGCCATTGTAAACAGCCCGTGCCTAAAAACACCCAGAAAGCAAAGGGGGAGGAGGGGTTAATGACAGAACACGTATTACTTGAGTTTGTAAAGCTGAATCCCCCACTTGGAATTTTTGTTTGTTTGTATTTTAGTCATCTCTCTTTTCTTACTTTGGTTTAGACAAACATAATTAAGGTTTAAAATTTGGTTTACACCATTATACTTGGAACTAATGGGATACAATTTCTAGGAGGGGAGACCGGGAGGGAGCAGGGTGTGGACAGAGTGGGGAGCAGGGTGTGGACAGAGTGCTGGTTTTGGTAGCTTCATACCAGGCTCAGTTTTGCTTCTCCCACAGACTGTCTCCAGAGCAAGTTTCACGAGAGGCAATGCCTCACAAATATATCGCCGGATGATGGAGAAGGACAAGTATGACCGACAGTGGGAGCTTATCATGTGGTATGCACATTGCTAATTATTATCCGAATATATTTACTTAGTCTTCACAATGACACCCACAAACAGGCCTGTTACTATATCCACATTGAAAGGAATCTGACTACAGGAAACATTAAGTAAACTGCCCAAAGTCACTCACCAGTAATTAATCAGTGACTCTCTGTGTAAACTCGTACACCACTTTATTTGACAAGAGGAAAATTAATTTGTTGCACCAGCTTCAAATGGCAACTGTTTTGCTGCATATCAAAAGCAAAACCTACTGAGTTTGATGTCTGAGAAGATGGACGGAGCCACCGTCATAATCACAGGAACGGATGTGAGCATGTCTTCCTTCTCCGCTGTCCTGAACCCAAAAGAGGCGCTTGGCAAGCACATCCAGAGTCAGTACCGCTATCCTGTCCTCAGTCTCCAGCAGCATTTTCACCTCTACCCCGCTGAGATCCGCTCTGTGAATGCTGCCGGTCACCTCAGAAGACCAAAATATCAACCTGGGGATGAACACATCACACACAGCCATAACGGAATGGAAAGTCGCTTAAGTGGGGGTTCCCGCCTCTGGTGCCTGCCCCGGGAGAGTCTGAATGAGAATTCAGATACATGTATGTATTTCCTACCAGAAATGCTACGTGATTTCAAGGGGGAAAGAAACCTAAGCTTTTAGAGTGGAGCATCAGGTGGGAAGGAGTGTCTACAGAGTCCCGACCCAGCTACTTGTTTTGGAGAAGATGGCACCTGTGCATTGTCAACAGGGACTTGTGTCTTACTCAAGAAGTCCTTTTGCCTTTCGGGCATTATGATTATCTTTATGAGATCTGAGGCTCATTTCAATTTCCTTGAAAACAAACAAGCAAACACACAGGGTCTTACCTCTCTATTGGATCCACTGCTATATTTGCCGGCCGTTTTAAGGAACTTAGAAGAACGTGGGAACTGTTGCCTTTCATATCTGTCACGGTGATGAGTCCTTCCTGCTGATTTGCCCAGAGAATCTCTTCATCTACCCAGTTTATGGCCATCCCAGACACATTCTTCTCAACGTGGCACACTGTCTGCAAAACCAAATTTCGACAGTATAAATATTAACGATTCACAAGGAAATCGCTCTGTCCTTGCACAGTCTGTCATTTTTAGTATTTGCCATTTTAATGCATTCCCCACATCTTTTAAATGATAAAATAGTCACAAAATGAGTTTGCTTTGATTCAGTAATGGTACACTTCTTGTGAGTAGGCCATTTGTATTATGGCTTTGGGATAACAAATTATCCTATATACCATTGAAATTAGGAGCTCGACCACAATATATTAATAACTTCACAGAATTTTTATGCTTCAAGGCAGTTTATGCAATTCACCTTGGTAATGGGATCCTAACCTGAATTCAGCTTTAGGTCTTTCCAAACTCTGGTAAGATTCCATTGAGTTTTTAACAGAGTTTTGAACAGAGTCCACCCCTTTTTGGAACAGGATCTCATGTAATCCAGACTGGTTTGGAACTGTTTATGTACTTGAGACTTGAGAATCCTTCTGTCTCTGTTTCTTGAGTGCAGATATTACAGGCCTGTGCCACCTCATCTAGTTTACCCACTTATGGGGATCAAACCCAGGGTTTTCTGTGTTGCCAAGCAACCGAGCTATAGCAACAGCCTCTTGAAGCAGTCTGGTTATGGAACCCCAGTTTTCTTCGCCTCCCCACCCTTCTTCTATCAGATTCCAATGACGTCTGACAAACAGGGTTTCTCTTTGTACATCTTAGGCTGTCCTTTGCATTTTCTTGAAAGAATCAACGAGAAAATCTGTGACTCCAACCTGGGCGAGCCAACTAGTCCTCGGGGGCTTGGAAGGCTCCAGGTAGAGGAAGCCTTGGCTTTCCCCCAACAGGTTCCCATGGTGTCATAACCATACCGGTGCACTTCCAACTCCCTGCAGGACATCGTCAAGCCAGAGGCTCAGCAGAGACAGCACAGTCTCATTGCTGCTCTGGAGCTCAGAGCCGGCCAGCCGAGCCCTTTAACAAGCTACTTTCTCACGTCAGTTTGAATTGCTTCCGCGTTCAGCATGGGCTGCTCTCTAAGCATTACTTTAAACACAGGAGTGGGGATAATGGTGAGCTCTTAGGTATCAGGCCAATCCCTTCCTAAGGATGTGACATAGATCCACAACTGCTTGTGCTGTTTCCCTAATTTGGTGACAGGGAGCGTCCACATTCTCAGATTTCCATGCTCTTCTAGCAAATGGCTGGAGAAGACGGCACAGTCAAACTTGCTAAAGTGAGGCTAGCCAGAGTACTAAAACAGATTTGCACCTAATTGAAGCTTTTAGCAATAATTGGAAAGAGAGAGAGTTGGCGTGGAAGAAGAAGAAGAAGAAGAAGAAAAAAAAAAAAAGCCCAAACAACGAGCCCTTTGTGTTGGGAATAAATGCTCCAGGTGCCGCTAATCGCCTGTTCTGGGTAATCCATCTCCAGCACACATTCCTCCAAGGACTCACTGCCCCGTTCTACCAGAGGAAGAAAAAGATTAAGGGTCTTTTGTATGTACTTGAAATACAACATTTTTTTTTAATCTGTCCTTGGCTTCATTTTTATCCCCAGAGTACAAATACTTTGCGAATACAAAGGGAATTTTTTTCCTTCCTAAATGCCAGGCATTTTTTCCCTGCATGAGAAAAAAAGATGCATACAGATAAAACAGCTGTTCTTGACCTCAGCACTTTTGACACATGAAGTTAGACATTGCTTCACTGAGCTGTCCCACAGAGCCACAGAGTGCCGGATGCTGAGTGACAGCCTTGCCCTGTGCCGACCAGATGAGCAGATGCCTGTAGCATCTTTACCCGCCAAAAGGACTCCTGTCAAATATTCATAGAGGGACAAAACTGAGGTTCAAAATCAACATGCATATAATGTCTTCATGATGACTGACTTGATTAAATCAGACATTTTCAAAAGTGCTTTTATTTCATGTTCTTCTTTTAGGTGCTTGCAAATAACAATGTGTAAGTTTAGTCAATAGTATAGACACACAGAGGCAGATTAAATGCCTATATTTAAAACACAAACACATGAATCATAATATATTTTCATTTATCTTCCCATACAAATTCTAAGTGCTGTTTAGCCCATGAGATCAAGCCCATTCAGAGTGGTAAAACCTTAGACAAATTATCCACACATTAAAAATTCAATGTCACATTTGTATAAATTTCTCACATACCATGGGTGATATGGTACTTTACCTCTTGTCTTGACCCATTAAGAAAAACTCTTTGCAAAAGTTGTCTTTCTAAATCCACCCAATAGAGTCTCTCCTCCTTGTATTGAAAATCCATGATCACTGAGCTACCAGCATCTACCACCAATTGCTGGTGATTTGTTCCTTCTGGGTCAATCCGAGAGATATTGTTTCCATGTGAGAAAATTAGGAAGGGTGCAGGATCTAAGGGAAAGAAAGAAATCAACTTGTAGATTTTCAGTGATATTTAATCTGATCCACATAAAATACTTTCCCTGACAATTAATACATACAGTTAATTCTGTGCATATTATATGTATGCTGTACTATGTTACATATGTGTGTTATATATATTAACTGAATATTTGGCATATGCAGTTAATTCTACATACAACTTAAATTTCTAGTCTCATATTTTAAATAAAACTATTCTATACAGAATACGAGGTTCCTGTAGATTTCTACAAACCATCTTCTATGTTCTACTAATGTACATTTAATATACATGAAAAAGAAACAAGGCATAGTTTTCTGTCATAGAAAGACATTATTGTATTAATTACTTTGTGTTGCTGTGTCTAAAATGCCTGATGGGTTTGCATTGGCTCACAGCTTCAGAGCAATCAGAACCATTGTGGTGCAGAGGGAAGGCTAGCTCATCTCTGTTCATGGCAGCAAGAGCGTATGGAGAAGGATGTCCCCATCATAGTAGACCAGAAGGCCCAGAGTGTGACAGGGAGGAACAAGGGACTGACTCTAACCCTAGTTGCCTACTTTGGCCAGCCAGGCCATGCTTTCTAAAGGTTCCACAGTCCCCAAAATACTACAGACCTTGAGGACCAACAACTCAAAACATGAGCCTACAGGGAACATTTCAGATTCAAACCATAACAGTTACAAATACTATTGTGGAGATAGATGCTGTTTCTTCTAGCTTCACCTTGTGGTCAGAGCCATCAAGTAATGTGGAGAGCAGAAGGGAGTCCTAAGTGGGAGCAGAAAAATTGGAATGCTGGCTTCCAACGGTCAGGAAACGGTGCATTGATAAGGAAGAGTTAGAACAACATGAGTATGCGGGGAAGTGAGGGTAGACCGAGGTGATTGACCTCTTGTTCCCAGGAGAGTCTGTGAAAAGAAACAGCAAGCAGACAGGCACAGGGGTGGGTATTCAGACAGGATCAATATGGGACAGAGGAAGACCAGGCACCCTATAAAATACCCAGCCTTGGGCTTTTCCCATTCTGAGTGTCTAAGCTATTATATGCCCTTTCTTGGGGTCTTCTCTCTTTCCCTGTCATTCAATTCTTGGTTCATGGCATGCAACAAATTCAGCATTCTCCTAGACAGCTACTGCTAACCCGTTGTAGACAGGCTACATTAGCCATAAAACACAGGATAGCAAGTTAAATTTGAATTACATATACAGGTTGAAATTCTCTAATATAAAATTCTGACATTCCAAATGTTCCAAATACATAACTCTGATTATCATCCACATGACATCAGAAATGGAAAATTCAATACCTGATCATATAAGTAGACTAAAATTTGTATAAAGTCATCTTCAGGCTACATGTATGAGTAAGATCTGCCTGTAGACTTGGATGTTATTTCATATATATATATATATATATATATATATATATATAGTATATGTATATATATATACATATATGTATGTATGTATATGTATATACATGCATATATATATGCAAATATTTCAGAAACATTCTAAAACATTCCTGGCCCAAGTCACTTTTGAGTATATAAGACCAATCTAAATGTTACACATACTCTCAAAAGTTACTATTTATCTGTAATTAATTTTAGTGGGTATTTCTATTTACTAGATCTTAGCAGTAGGCCTCCCTGGTAACGGCAGCACCTTGCTCTGAGCTTTAACCCCTTGCTTAGAGTCCTTTTATACTTAGATCATGGCCACCAGTCACTTTGACTTCCTACCCCTTGGCAGTGCCTTCTTTGGAAACCTCAGCAGGAGTTAATGGATGAGTTTGTCTTTTATGCGCTGAAGTGAATCAGCCTGGACTGAGGCTGGTTCCTTAGCTCTCCTGACCAAAAGAGAACCTGTTGCTACCGCCCTACATTTAGAAAATGACAGGACTTGCTGGCCTTGTTTTATTCTGTCTGAATAGTAAGCCTTCATACTGTAATGGAGTTTAATAAGTGACTTCATGGTTCTAAGGGTGTGATGGATGAGCAGGCTCTACCTCTGGGGCCTGGGTTTAAAGCTAGACTGCATTGGCTCCTTTTCAGTGGATGCATCACCATGGAGATACAGGAGGAACGAAGGAGTATCAGGTCAGGAGAATTTGAACAGCTGTCTCTACAGATGTCTAAGAGAACGAACTCAATGCCTTTCCCCGTGTCTTTATGTCAATACCAGCCCTTTGCACAGAGGGGGACAGTCCATGCTTAGTTACCACTGAAGCTGTTACCACTGAAGCTCAGTTACCACTGAGACACCATCAAGGCATGGAAACGGCACTGTGCAATGCTGAATTAAGAAATACCTTGGAGGTAAGTGAAACGTACTCCTGGCTGGGTTACGCAAGTCCATTTCTTGAGACAGTTAGGTCAGCCTTCTCTGGCTTAACCAATGGATTGGACTCTCGAAGGACAACTCATGATTAGGAGGCAGTATCAGTAGGAAACGGGGCGTACTTGGCAGAAGTGGTATGATGGGAGATGTCATTCTGTAAATGTTTCTCATACTGGTTAATGAATAAAGCACTGTTGGCCAATAGGAAAGGAAGATAGGAGGGACTAGGAGACAAGGAGGAAAGAGGAAGTAGGAAGGAGGAGTCAGATGGAGAGAAGGGAGAGAACAGAACTGCCGGCCCCTGCTCTCCGGTAAGACCACGTGGAAATACATAGAAATGGGTTTATAATTATGACAGAGCTTGCCGATAAGAAACTAGTACCTGGCCAACAGCATTATCTCAAATACAGAGTCTCTGTGTGTTAATTGGAGCTGGCGCCGCGGGGACAAGACCAGAGGCGGCGGGAGGAAAACCCTTACTCCTTACAGTGGTACCCTAGGGCTGCGTCATGGAGCATTACGGAGCCCTGGCCTCTTCCTCTATTGTTATTTCTACTTCCTGCCAGGGGAACAGCTCTCTGACACATCTTACAGAATTTCTCCTGCCTTCATTATTTACTCAGGACTACGTGTCAGGAACTTTCTGCCAGGTGTCCCCACAGCCCAGGCTTTGCTACATAGAGTTGTGCCACTATTTCAATGGGATACCATGGACTAGAATGCTGGCCCAACTTGTTTCATAGAGGAAAGGCAGCCTAAGCTTAGAGCTGCTAACTTGTGGACCACAAAGAGATACAGGCCTGCGGGTGCATTGACCAGGGTCTTCTCATGTGCATGTAGCATGCCTTTTTTAGAAATAACAGTTAATCAAGCACATCTGATTACTTTCAAATGCATGCATATATTGATATGATCAATAAAATGTTGCACTATTTAAGTTACTACATAGATAGTTTACAGGTTGGAAAGGGAGGCTTTCTAAGCATTTTAATATTCCTCACCACAAAAATGTTATTATGATGTAAAGTAAAGCTGCTCACTACTTGTTTGTTCCTGTTTCCTCACTCCTGACCTACAAACCCACCCTGCTGCTACTACCCAGTGGGAATCCTCACCTTACTATGGTGAACTGCAAAATCTTCTCTTTTGACATGGTGTTGGTCATCTTTTTGGGGACTAACAACACCCTTGCATCTTTTAAGTATCTTTTGCTTGTTCTTAAGTTGTTACTACTAAGTTTGAAACTGAGCCAACAGTCCACCCTACTTCAGAGACTTCTAGGAGCAACTCTGAACAAAGGAGACCTGCCTATCCACGCAGGACCACCCGTAATTTCCACCGGCTTGGTCTCTGACCCCCACCTCCAGCCCTCCCAGAGATCCACCTTTCTCTGTGGGTCCACTCTGAGTTCCCGCCAGCAAGATCCTTGACCCCCCAAAGCAGGGCCTCTGCTAAAGAAAGAGGCCTCAGCTGGAGGGTCCCAGTTTCCAGTGAGATCCGACTATCCTGCAGAAACTTTCCAAGTTTCAGCTCAGCCTTTGTCCTCTTCCGCCAGCCATTGGCTAGAGCCATTGGCTAGTGGCATCTTCTACTGGATTCTCAGCCCTGACCCCATCCCTGGGTCCCTGTCTGCGGAGAGACCTCCTATAGAGCTTGGACCACACAGAACTACACGTATTGAATCTCTGACCCACATAAGCCCATCTGGGAAGGACCATAGAGAGAGGGGGAGAACCCACCAACACCTACTGGAAGAAGCTATGGGAAGAAGGCAATACAAGAAAACACCTAACAGAAAGACAAGCATGACACAACCAGAATCTAGGGAATCTACAACAACTAGAACAGAACACAACAACAAAGCAGAGGAAGCAGAGGGGAACGACTTAAAAATTACCATCATAAAAATGGTAGAGGCCCTCAAAGAAGATGTGAGAAAATCCCTTAAAGAAATGGAGGAAAAAACAAACAAAAAAGTGAAAGAAATGAATAAATTCCTTAAGGAAAGTACAGAAAGCCAAGAAAAAACAATTAGGCAGGTGAAGGAAATGGTTCAAGAATTGCAAACTGAAATAGAGAAAATAAAGGCAACACAAACCAAAGGAATGCTGGAAACAGAAAAACTGGGCAAATGATCGGGAACTATAGACGCAAGCATAACCAACAGAATTCAAGAGATCGAAGAGAGAATCTCAGGCGCAGAAGATAAACTAGAAGAAATAGATTCATCGACCAAATAAAATTATAAATCCAACAAATCCTTAACGCAAAACATCCAGGAAATGTGGGACACTGTGAAAAGGCCAAACCTAAGAATAATAGGCATAGAGGAAGGCGAGGAAGCCCAGCTCAAAGGTGCTGAAAACATATTCAACAAAATCATCGAGGAAAACTTTCCAAATCTGAAGAAGGACATATCCATGAAAGTACAAGAAGCATACCGAACCCCAAATAGGCTGGACCAAAGAAAAAAGACCCCTCGACATATAATAATCAAAACACCTAGCATACAGAATAAAGAAAGAATATTAAGAGCAGCGAAGGAAAAAAGGACAGGTAACATATAAAGGCAGACCTAACAAAATTACACCTGATTTCTCCATGGAAACCCTCAAGGCCAGAAGATCCTGGATAGATGTTCTAC